CTATCATGGGTGCTTGCATATATACAAGCCTACATCTGATCTATCATGGGTGCTAGCATATATACAAACCTATACCTGTACTATCATGGGTGCTAGCATACATACAAACCTATACCTGTACTATCATGGGTGCTAGCATATATACAAACCTATACCTGTACTATCATGGGTGCTAGCATATATACAAACCTACGCCTGCACTATCATGGGTGCTAGCATATATACAAATCTACGCCTGCACTATCATGGGCGCTAGCATATATACAAATCTACGCCTGCACTATCATGGGTGCTAGCATACATACAAACCTACGCCTGCACTATCATGGGTGCTAGCATATATACAAACCTACGCCTGTACTATCATAGGTGTTAGCATACATACAAACCTATACCTGCACTATCATGGGTGCTAGCATACATACAAACCTATACCTGCACTATCATGGGTGCTAGCATACATACAAACCTATACCTACACTATCATGGGTGCTTGCATATATACAAGCCTACATTTGAACTATCATTGCTGCTATAATATATACAAACTTGCAACTGCACTATCATAGCTGTTATAATATATACAAACCTACACCTGCACTATCATAGCTGCTATAATATATACAAACCTACACGTGCACTATCATAGCTGCTATAATATATACAAACCTACACGTGCACTATCATAGCTGCTATAATACATACAAACCTACACCTGCACTATCATAGCTGCTATAATATATACAAACCTACACGTGCACTATCATAGCTGCTATAATATATACAAACCTACACGTGCACTATCATTGCTGCTATAATATATACAAACTTGCAACTGCACTATCATAGCTGTTATAATATATACAAACTTGCAACTGCACTATCATAGCTGTTATAATATATACAAACCTACACCTGCACTATCATAGCTGCTATAATATATACAAACCTACACCTGCACTATCATAGCTGCTATGATATATACAAACCTACACCTGCACTATCATGGCTGCTATAATACATACAAATCTACCCTTGCACTATCATAGCTGCTATAATACATACAAATCTACCCTTGCACTATCATAGCTGCTATAATACATACAAATCTACCCTTGCACTATCATAGCTGCTATAATACATACAAATCTACCCTTGCACTATCATAGCTGCTATAATACATACAAATCTACCCTTGTACTATCATGGCTGCTATAATACATACAAATCTACCCTTGCACTATCATAGCTGCTATAATATATACAAACCTACACCTGCACTATCATAGCTGCTATGATATATACAAACCTACACCTGCACTATCATGGCTGCTATAATACATACAAATCTACCCTTGCACTATCATGCGTGCTAGCATACATACAAGCCTACATCCGCACTAACATGGGTGTTTATTACAGAGCAACCTTTGTTAAATGTTTGTCTCAGACCTTGGTATAACTATTAAATGTCCTTAGTTCTGGAGTTTGAAGCAAATAAGACTCTGGGCATTTTTGTTAATGACTTAATAGAATTATATAATGTATAATTCATTAACAGACGACACTGAAAGAAAATTTGTTACTAACCATTTACTCCTAGAGAAGAAAGTATGGAAGTGCCATCTCGTGGTTGAATGAGAAAGGGAAAATAATTCCACAAAAGACAACCCAATAAATTCTAACAGAAGTTAAAATCATTATTTCTATAAGTTAATCTGAGAAAATAACTCTCAAAATATATAGAACACTTAATCATGTATCATGAGTAATGCCCTTTAGGGTATATTGGAATATAGCGAGCATGTTTGTAACTTATAATTATATAATTGAATCAGAAACATTATCTTAACAGAGAAAGCATGCGGGAAACAAGAACCAGCTCGGAACTGCAGTTTCGTCGATATTCGTCCTATTCATGAACTTAACAGAACTGAATGCTCCTGGGTTGAATTACTAAACCTAGTGTTTCAGGTCTTTTGCAACAACAACAAAAAGAAGCAAATACAATTCGAAAAAGTAAAATCTGCAACATTTTTGCTAGATATTTGTACGTCAGGTGTTAGAGAGTATTTATTGAATTTTGAGTTTTTCGAACAGGTTAAAATGATAAGTAATTCAGTACTATTTTGATTGAGGAAAGTAAGTGTATGGTGGATGTTTTAATTTTCAGTAAACTTCTTTGACAATGACATATTTTAAAGCAGTCCGGTCATATCATTGAACGAAAATTAAATCTTGACATTGCAAGAAAAGCAAATATGTTTTATTTTCATAATCGAAAAAAGTTTTCGCCATATAAAATAATTAGAAGGAAATTTAAAGACCGACAAGCATGGCTTTCTCGAATTTCAAGTTTGACGTATTGAGTAGTAGATAAAATATAGTCGTACAGTGTGCGGTGTAGTAGTTATTTAGTTGAAGTTCTGTCGACCAGAAAAACGATCAAAAAGTGTACAAAGAGTTAATCAAATTTGACAGTGAAAGTTGACATTTACTACAATAAACCAATGCTCAGTAAGTAAAGCAGACGATAGTTTGAGAGTAAATATTCAGTATAACAATTTCAACCAAGGTTCAGTAATCAAAGTGAACAATGGTTTACGAATAGAGACTCACTGTAATAATTTAAACCATGGCTCAGTAAGTAAAACAGACGATAGTTTGAGAGTAAATATTCAGTATAACAATTTAAACCAAGGTTCAGTAACCCAAGTGAACAATGGTTTACGAATAGAGACTCACTGTAACAATTTAAACCATGGCTCAGTAAGTAAAGCAGACGATAGTTTGAGAGTAAATATTCAGTATAACAATTTAAACCAAAGTTCAGTAACCAAAGTGAACAATGGTTTACGAATAGAGACTCACTGTAACAATTTAAACCATGGCTCAGTAAGTAAAGCAGACGATGGTTTGAGAATAAAGATTTAGTATAATAATTGAAACCATGGTTCAGTAATGACTTTCTAAAGTTTGCAACTATCAAAAGTTAAAAGTTGTATAAGTCATTTCAGTAAGATTCGTCCTTTAATATAAATCTAGGTCTGAACAGCTGGTAAAATACACCAAGCAAGCCTACTACGTGAAACGTACAGTAAGCTTTATTTTACCATTCCTTTTATATTTAACATACAACCGATCACTAGGCTGATTCTAAAATTCCCCTAAAAATGTACTTGGGATTTTGTGGTGTATTGGTCTTATGTAGCTACTGTAGATAAAATGAAATAAAAATGACTAATATAATTTTCACAGAATAAAGAATGAAGTTTGTATTTTATAAATCTTATTGGAAAATACACCAAACATCACATAATGTACATAATTGAAATAAAAAGAATTAAAAGAAAATTTTTTTAACCTTTATTATCATCATCTTGCCATATCATCAATATGCTGGAGTACAACAGTGTCAGGACCATCTCAGGTGGCAATATAATCGCACTGTACTTTCGCTTCTTGGGTTTAAATTCTATTTATCTACAGTTATCTTTCTTCTTTGAATGCTGCTATTCGCCCTAATTTCAATTTTGAAAAGCTTTAACATTTTGTTATTTAAAATAACGACAATGCTTACGGTCCAACTTCAAAATCAATTAAACTTTGTTTTTGCGGTCTATAATAACTGACTACGTTTACCATTGATTGTTATCTCATACAGAAGGAACACCTTAATTAAATAAAACATCTTTGACAGCTGATTGAAAAGTCTGAAAGACACAGCATTAACATTCGGAAACTATATATATAGCATACGAAAAGTCTAGAAGACACAATATTAACATTCCGAAACTTTACGTCTTCAGAACATATAGTGTACGAAAATTTCTGAAAGACACGATATTAATGTTTCGAAACTTTACGTCTTCAGAACGTATAGTGTACGAAAATTTCTGAAAAACACAATATTAATGTTTCGAAACTTTACATTTTCAGGATATACAGCATATCTATATTCTTTAAAACGAATTCATTGATCATGATGAGAGGATGACAAGAATTATTGAATTTCTTTAACGAATGGGCCCAGACTGCATAAAGTGCCTTGACACCTAGCGGCTCACGATAATCACCGATAGCTTTTTTCATGAAAAAGTTAGGACTGAAAGACTGTAATAAAGGGTAGCATAACCACAACGTACTTGTAGTTTCATCAAGTTTCTGAACATTGAAGATGCGACATTAAACACAATTAAAATAAATGAATTGGTAAATATATGTTCATCATTATTAAAAAAAAAACATTTTTTGTTCGCATAGATAAAGATGTCAGTGATGATATGCTTATCTTCAAATTTAGCAATACAACACCAGGAGGTGTTAGCTTTAATTTTTAGTTGGACTGTTTGTCTTTTCACTTTAAAGAATACTTCGAAATTTAAAGAATTTTGTGAAATATGGCATAAGTTTGGAACATAATAGTAATAATGCTTTCCCTTGTTCTTAAAAACCCCTTTCGTTTCCTTTCTATTTAGGCCCGGCATGGCCAGGTGGTTAGGGCGCTCACACCAAACATTCTCGCCCTTTCAGCCGTGGGGGCGTTATAATGTTACAGACAATCCCACTATTCGTTGATAAAAGAGTAGCCCAAGAGTTGGCGGTGGGTGGTGATGACTAGCTATATTCCCTCTAGTCTTATACTGCTAAATTAGGGACGGCTAGCGCAGATAGCCCTCGTGTAGCTTTGCGCGAAATTCAAAAGAAACAAACAATCGTTTCTGTTTTTGTTTTTTTTTACTTGAAACTAATGTGTATGCCAGTTACTGTATGGTTTTTACTGGAATATTCAGCGACTGACTCGACTTTTCTGGTGTTGCTAGAAGATTTATGGTTGTCCATACGTTTACTTCTTGTAGTTTTAGTTTGTCCAACATACTGGAAGTTACAACTTGAATATCACTTTTAACAAGATAGTTTATACATCTTGGTTCTATTTATAAGTAAAGTGCTCAAGAGACTTCACAACCTTTCAAGTTGCGTATTTTCTGTTTTTGTAGAGAGTGCTTCCCACAGGCTAAGGATAAAGAAAGAAACAATGTGAATTTCAGGAAAGATACCGCTTTTCACAAGTGGAGGAATCAACAAAGAAACAGTGTGAACTTCAGGAAAGATACGGCTTCTCACAAGTGGAGAAATCAACAAAGAAACAGTGTGAACTTCAGGAAAGATACGGCTTCTCACAAGTGGAGAAATCAACAAAGAAACAGTGTGAACTTCAGGAAAGATACGGCTTCTCACAAGCGGGGGGAAACAACAAGGAAACAGTGTGAACTTCGGGAAATATACGGCTTCTCACAATAGGAGGAATCAACAAAGAAACAGTGTGAACTTCAGAAAATATACGGCTTCTCACAAGTGGAGGAATAAACAAAGAAACAGTGTGAACTTCAGGAAAGATACGGCTTCTCACAAGCGGGGGAATCAACAAGGAAACAGTGTGAACTTCAGGAAAGGTACCGCTTCTCACAAGCGGAATAATCAACAAGGAAACAGTGTGAATTTCAGGAAAGAAACTGCATCTCATAAGCGGAGTAACCAACAAAGAAACAGTGTGAACTTCAGGAAAGGTACCGCTTCTCACAAGCGGAATAATCAACAAGGAAACAGTGTGAATTTCAGGAAAGAAACTGCATCTCATAAGCGGGGTAACCAACAAAGAAACAGTGTGAACTTCAACCAAAATTAAATTATCTAATCTTAAGGGATTTTCCATAACCAAAATGCGGCAAAAATATTTTAACAGCTCCCATCATCTCCATACAGCCGTCATTTCCTTCCATTTATTCAATTGACCTATCCTACGGTCTTCAGATACACCGTAGTGATAATTTAAGTATCTTTATGTAAATGTAATATATATATATATATATATACACGTATCACAAATAAAGTATATAATATTAATATATTTGATACAGAAGCACTTTAATAGCCGGAACAACAACGAAAATAACCAACCTATAATTCCCTGATTTGTCTTTGATCAAATCTTCTTCACCTAATTTAAAAATAAACTGTCCTTTTCTTCCAATATTCTACTTACCACAATCTACCCTTCACTTCTATTTAGATTGTTTCCAACTGTTACTAAAAATTAAGTTTTTATTCAGTATTGTTAATTTTTTGCGAAGGATTTCTGTAGTATTTTACGAAGTACGACTTGCATTCAAAAACTCCATCGATACGATCTGTTTTACTAGCCTTGATGTGATCAGTTTACTAAACCTACAGAGCCATATTTTTACTGACCTTAATGTGTTAAGTTTACTAAATCTACAAAGTCTTATTTTACCATTGGTCTTACTGGATATTTTTTATTGGCCTTAGTGTGGTCAGTTTACTATATCTACCAGATGTCGAGTCCTGATGGGTTTCGCAGGATATAAAAAGAGGATTCAGCCTTCCTATAAGTCCACTGAAATGACAATCCCTTTGCACAGTTCTGTATGCCTTGCTATATTTTTTTTCAGAAATGTTTTTCAGTTTGATTCATTTTAGTGGAGAGGCACATTTTCAAGTTGCTTTTATACTTCCAGGCCTAAAAACACATATACATAGCAGTAAGAATATTTAACATGTTATTCTTCATGTGGTTCAGCACATAATATTTCAAAGCGATTTTTACCCCCATTTATTGTTTGCATGATGATTTAAAATAATTATTTTTTGGTGACGTAACGACCTTCATCAATTTATGGTAATTTGGAGACCACGTTTCGAACACTTAATACTGGATCTTACAGTTTTAAACGTCGATTTAAAGCTACCACAAATGGATTAAATTTTTTATATCATTCATAATTAATCCATGATAATTTGTTCTTGGGATAGGGATTAATAACAGTTATTATTTTCAATTTAATTCCAGATACGGTGATTTGTTCAGTATCACTGCAAAACAGTTACGATTCGTGCAAAATACATGGGACTCTTAGGAATTAGGTTTGGGATTTTGTACATGTACCAATAGTTAGTCATATGTACTCTAAGTTGATAGGTACTTATAGCAAAACATTGGTCGAACTTACTATATACTTATATTAAACTTGGGAACATGACATCAGTACTTGTTTTGATTTTTCTGTTTGGTTTTCCTTTTTTGTTTCTGATCTTTTGGAATTGCTTTGTGATCGTCAGATATCTCAAAGAAAACAAACTTATGCCAGCATGCACGATTCTTTGAAACCAGCATAATCTGTTTTGCTTCACAGTTCTTCTTCTGTGAACTTCTGTTACACAACTAACGTCTGGATTCCTTCATGTTTTCGACAGAATCTATTGTGACGATGTCTTACCCAGATGTATGTTTCTTGCTACGTTGTGTAGCTCACTTGTTGGGAAGAGATGAAGAGGAGGGAAGAAGAACTTGAACTAATTTTATAACTTAAAGGGTTGTATTTTTTATTGAATCATTACCTAAATATCTGGATTAATTACAACAAAGTAACCTACAGCAGAAGTATATTCCACAGCGTTGTAGAACATAGAAATATATAAGTGTATAAACTTAAAGAATATTTGGAGTAGTCCACGTAATCAGAGTACATATAATAAAGAAGATTTGGAGTAGTCCACGTAATCCGAGTACATATAATAAAGAATATTTGGAGTAGTCCACGTAATAAGAGTACATATAATATAGGATGAGGAGGAAGTGGAGTAACCCACATAAGCATAGAATATAAACTTAAGTAGGATTTAGCGTAGCCCTCATACCCATAGTACACATATTGAAGGAGGATTTAGAATAATTTACATAGGCATGGTATATACGCTTAAGAAGAACTTGGAGTAGTCCACATAATCGTAGAGCATAGTATATGAGCTTACGGAATATTTGTAGCAACCCCCCTAAGCATAGCACATAAAATTAAGGACAATGTGGAATAGTAGCTAATGTTACCATAGTATACAGACCTAAAGAGGATTTGGAGTAGCAAACATAACTGTACCAAATAAAAAGATAACTGGAAGTAGATCCAATATCTGAAGGACATATAGGAAAAAAATGGAAGTAACTCCCATGTGTACAATACACATAAGGGTAATTTTATGCCCAGTTCATATCTATCATGCTTATAGAAGAAATTAAGAATAGCTATACAACATATTTTTACGTTTAAGATAGTATCTAATGTCTATAAAAACGTGCAGATATACTTATAAGGGAAAATGGGAGTAGATATACTATTCATAGTACACCGAAAAAAAAATCATAATCCGCCATGTTAATAGAGATTTAGAGGTAGACTAATTATATAAGTTAAGTACGAGAACATTTAGGCAGTATATTACACATTTGAAAAATTGGGTATCGTCATTATTCATAACGGATATATGAAAATTAGGATTAGCTCTATATATTATAAATAGTTCCTACAGTATAAAAATAAATTAATGACAGTGATAAGTACATTTAGTACGTATGTTAGTATATAAACATTTTTAATTAAAGCATTTGTAATTATTGGAATAGTTTTATACAGATAAATGAATTCCGTTCATTGTGACGAGAGGCCAGTATTTTATACAAATTACTGCACAACTTTGAACCAAGTGCATATCTATTGTTATATTAAATATTAGAATAACTTACCTGGCAAGTATCAACAAATGATGTTCATACTGTACAAAGAAGCTACTGTTATCGACTATATAACAACCTACAATATTGAAATTTATAAGTATTTTGAAACTGTATATTGGAAAATGCTTCGTTTTATGATAAACGTTTCGTAAATTAATTGTTAGGTCATCTTAGTCCTAAAGTACCTCCGTACCTTAATTCACGATCACGACAATTATGGGTTTGGAGCTTAAGAACAAAAAATATGATAAATTTCCGAGCTGCAGGTGATCTCCACTAATATACATCATTAATTATACTCATCACGAAATCTTCTCTAGCTGTTTCCCTTGTTTCTCGGTGCATATTATTCGATATTCTAGTGGATTTTTGGGGTAAAGTTCGTTACAGATTAGCAGCTTGAAGGCTATCAACCGTTCTCTAATTACTTTATAATCTGTTTAGTAAGAGTTGAAACTGAAAATGCAACGAGTCTGACAAAAATTAGTTTCAATTAAAAAAAAAAAGACCTTCGTCACTGAAGCTTGTTGCGAGTAATCGCTTATTATTTATTTAAGAAACGTGAGCTAACTATGAATAAATTAAGTTATCGAATCTCAATAAACTCTCAATAACAATATCAAAGACGTGGATGAACTTTTCAAAGCTGTAATCATTATTTAAGTTTCTTTCTTTTTTTACTACAGATCTAGAGGGAGAGCCAAGACGATCTATTTGTTTCTTTAAGCGCAATATATGTCAGTGAAATAACATACAAAGTACATGTATGCAACTTGAAATAACATACAAAGTACATGTATGCAACTTGAAAAAATATACAAAGCACATGTATGCAACTTGAAATAATATACAAAGTATATGTATGCAACTTGAAATAATATACACAGTACATGTATGCAACTTGAAATAATATACAAAGTACATGTATGCAACTTTTATTAGTGGATGAATTATGTTAATCAATTAAATTATTATAATTTCTGATGAAAGCAAGCTACCTACATATCAGAATTTAAAATAATGCAGTAATTAATACAGCTAATTTGATATGCCGTTCTATCCAAGTATGTGCAAAATCATAATATAAAAAACTTAAATCCTTAAAAAGCATTGATTCATCATTTGGGTACCCTCGCTGCTAACGATATTTTCGGCGGTAATTCTAAACATCTTTGTCACATTTCTTGAAAACTATACTCTAGCAACGCCATTGGATAACCATCAAACGGTTTCCATCCTTTTTTAAATGATGATTTATAACACGTTTATAAGAAAATGAAACGTTGTTTTTGGCTCTAGATGCAAGTGCAGCTGCGTAGTGCATACAGATGCAGGCTGTGTAGTACATACAGATGCTGGCTGTGTAGTACATACAGATACTGGAAACATAATGTTGATGTTTGTTTTTAATTATGAACTTAAACTGATTTTTTTTTCGAGCTGACCTGTTCCTCATGAAGAAATAAAACGGTTTTGTTTTAAGAATGTAGTAAGAATGTAAGACAAAAAATGATCAGTTCATTTCCATGAATATCTGATTATATATCTTCTGTTAAGACTAAAATCACTTTTAGGGACTCTCCCAAAGTCTCTCAGAAGAACAAGTGTTCGAAGCCATTCTTTTTCATAGTGTTTGGATAGCTATTCAGTAAAGACAGGCATCATTCAAGGACAGTCAACAGTGACACCTCAAAAGTGGAGTTTGCTATTTTTATTAATGTTTTAAGAGTCAGGGCGATCTAATCGGCATTTGGTTTTAAATTTACAACAAATTAAATGTTAAAGTACATAATATGTTTGAAACGCACATTTTCAGAGTTTATTTTTGTACTCAGTGTGTGTGTTAATGTGAAGATGTATGTCATATAATAAGAATTGTCCTTAAGACGTTTAAATTTGACATTTTGCTCTAAAAACCCTAATAACCACGTTTCACACATCGTAATTTTCCTTTGCAATAGAGAAACATAATAACTCATACTTTTCATTCTTTAACGATAACTTTGACAAACTTTTTTTTTTCTGAACATTAACACCAAGCCTTATAA